AAAACTGGTGGACCTCTGGTTTCGATATAATGTTCGATGTTATGATTTTTAACTTTATTAAAATCGGAATATTATTATTGTTATTTTGAAAACAAGGAGTTCCATTGGTTGTTAAGAATGTAGTACCATCAATCAACTTGCGGTTTTTAGAATCTACCAAAAGGTTAAAATTTGGCAAGAAATCCATACCTATTATCGGTTTGTTTCCCTCCGCAATTACAAAAGGCCATGTGAATGATCGTCTGAGTCCAAGATCAAGCTTGAGTAATTTTTGGCCATATGTTTTGATTTTCATACCATTTGCAGCAAAGAGTTCTAATTATGAGATTTTTTTTTTATCTGCAGGGAAGAAATGACAGAAATTTCTGCCTCTGTAAATCTATTAAAAATTGGGTAGCCGATTCTTTGCCGCTGATGAAAAGATGACTCAGCTGCACCCCTTGTCCCTCTGTCCTCAATGAGAGACGGGGAGCTGGTTTTCCAGACTATTTGTCTGTGATTTTGACGAGTAGTTGCAGGGTTGTTTACACTTAAATGACTTATCACTGAATTTTTTATGACAGTTAACAAATATCACAAGATCTGTTACCACTGTAACTCCTATCTCTTGATTTGGATCGGTTACGACAATAGGGACGGACTGTGGCGTTTGCTTGTTTAAAGCAGAAACTTGTAAGCTAAGTTCACTAACCTGTTTTTGTAAACTTTCAATCACTTCCGTTTTCACTGTTATGTATGAGGCAGCAGCTATTTGGGGAGTAACAGGGTTTAATTCTCAAATCTTATCATGGCCATTGTAGCCACTTTTGACAAATCTTCACTACTAACAGATATAAGGCTACGCATATTAACGGGTAAACGTTTGTAGCCACAATGTTTTTAGGAAAGTATCTGTTACTTTATCGCCCGCCCAAATTACGCATCTCACACAGCAATTGAGATGGCTTTTTGTCACCCCAGTTCTAATTCACTCAGTAATTTTTGGGTTTTTTTGAGTCTCTGAATCAGCATATAATGAAATTAGTCTATTTTTAATTGCCTCATATTTATTATCTTGTGGTGGACTTAGCAAAATATCAGATACCTGTGACAAATATCGGGTTCGATGGAATTTATAACATAATCATATTTTGTTTGATCTGCATTTATTTTTGCATTTCTAAATTGTGCTTCTAGTTGAATAAACCAGATCTTAGGATCTAGCTTCCAAAAAGGAGGAACTTTAACGCTTACCTTGGCGACAGATGCAGTTATTGCTTTAATTTCGGTTTCGTCTTCGTCAGCCATTGTAGAATTCGATCACGCCGGGATACACCAGTGAAGTGTCTGGTATGCAAATGTAGGAAAATAACACTTCTCTGACTCCAATGGAACCAATATTTTATTCCTTACGAAGTTATAGATTCTTATTCATAAGATTTATTTACATTTTACATGCACGTAGAATCGCGTGACAGAAAACCGAAGTTTGTTTACTTCTTTCTTCGCGGAGACTAGAAGGTGTTGCCATTCCGCTTTAACTAAATTTAATTAGAAAGTTAACGGAACTGAAGCGACACTACATCTGGCACCATTTGTATATGGACAATTACTACAACAGCGTCGATAACACGGAAGCCCTTTTACAAAAAAAAAAAAAAAAAAAATACGAATTTGCGGAAAAATCCACAAAGACAATGTCACGTGTGAGCAGTCAAAAAAGTGCGAAGTAAAACGTGTTTCATATGCAACTTCTGCCATGTTCCTCTTCATAGAGGAAAGTGCTTTGAACGGTACCATACTGTAAAGAACTATTAACGTGTTAGCAGTTCTATTTTTACTTGTTATGAAAAAATATTTTTTAATACACTCTAAAATTTTAAAAATCGTTTATTTTTGTGATTTCGTAAAAATATCTATTTTTTTTTCGTTAAATAATCATGCAGTATATATTTAAGTGTAAAATAAAAAAAAAGTTTCGTTCATAAAAACGAAATAGTTTTCGATTTACTGCGATTTTCCTGAATAACCCTACTTCCGCGCGATTCACGAAAAAACGCCTGCTGCATGCGTAAGTTCGCAGCGAAGTGTAACCGTATGCCAAGTGATAAAAAGGCCGTCATAAGATGGTTGAAGTGGACATCATGCTGCATCGCGTCGTACAAACACATGTGAACACGTTTTTCAAATCTTTGTAGGTAAACTCTGCTTTTGTTTCGTATGATCCAGTTAGTTTTGGTTAAAGCTGCTGCATGCAGATTGCAAGTTATTCGATGTATTCAGTAAGATCAGTATCAGTGTTCGATGTATCGACGAAATCACTTGGACGTTTAATTATAGTTCCCTACACAAATTCATCGAAAATGAAACCGATTTTGCCTTTAGGATCTATTCTCAGACCCAGCAACGCGGCAAAATTTCTGTCCATTTTTTAGTTTTATGACGCATTAATGCCAATTTTTATAGGACTATAAAATTTCTTAATTATGCCATTACTTTGAGGACGACAAGCAGTTGCACGTATTTGTGATACGCCTAGAAGTTTTGTTATAGCTTTAAATAAGCAAGAATCAAATTGACGTCCTTGATGGGTGGTGATCAGGGGGGAAGGTTTCCTCCTATTCCTTCCTCGTGGTTGTGACAGCAGTTGTAATATCAAAGCGAGAGATCCATTTAGCATAGAAAGTCTCCGCTACTGTTTTTGGCTTGAATATCGAAGATAGAAATTGCTTCAGATCAGCTAGTGAACCAATCGACAGCTGTTAGACAATATGCAAATACATTTGAAGGTGGAAGTAAACCAATGAAATCTAGATGAATATTGTTGCGTGTGTATGGGTTCGTAACAGATTGAATGCACAAGTCCGATGATAATAGCTTAATAAAATTTATTTATCAAAAGAAATATTTCAGAATTCTGGAATTTTCCACAGAAATACTCGTACAGGTGTCACACTATCACAAAGTACAATCAGTAGTTAGACCTCAAACTATTAAAAATGTTAAACACAACGCAATGCAAAGTGCATCTAAAGAGAAAGCAAACTCAGATTTATTTCAGTTCACGTGGATCTAAACAACAACTCGCAACAATAACTAAGCAACTGAGTGCAGATGCTCTCTCTTCGGCCTTAAATAGTTTTCCACCGGCCGAGAAGTAATTCTAGTACTTTTTTGCTTCTGGAAATTACTGGACAGCAATACGAGGGTGGAATTACGGTTACAGCTAACATAGTAGCCAGTTACATTTATTTAATTTAGATACATATTACGGTGATACAGGGTCCGGAACAAAATGTCCCAAAATTGGTAACTTTTGTTGCTTTTAACCCAAATTTGGGGTCAAAATAAATCCCCAAAACCGTTGCTAGCTTGGCGATATTTCTCCGAATTGCAGAGATGCCCAGTTACTCAATGTTAAATGCACTTGCCTCTGTATTCTTAGTTTCGCTGTTAGTTTATTGTTGCCACTCGGAAAAATCAGCGCGGTAATTAACGTTTCCGCAGTTTTTAATTAATATCTCTCCCGATTAAAGTTGTACAAAGCTGAGAACGATATCGATGGGATCGGAGAATTTTTTGGAATCCAAGGTTACGCGTCTCGAATATCAACTCGGCGCCGTTCCGTAGATATTCGAGAAAAAAGAATTTGGCACGTAGCCAAATCCCTCTAATAGGGAAAAACCCAAGAAAGAAAGTGAAAAATGTAGGGAAAATTAGTTTTTAATTAATATCTCGGATAATTAAAGTCCTAAGAAGACGCGAATGGTCAAAATGGTGTGCCACGGACCTGCAGAATCCAACGGCGTGCTTTGCTAAGCTCGGGAACCAGCCGTTTCGGAGGAGATAATGTTACTTCACCCCATATATATATATATATATATGCGGCTTACGTGTCTGTTTGTCGCCGATAGTTTATTGGTTGTTTGCATAACTGTACTAGCCAATGGGGTGAAGTTGCCACGGCACAGGGTTGCTGTTTCAATTGAGAGGTAGACAATTTCCTGTAAAACTTGCCTTTGCTATGATCATCAATATGTCTCAGGGCGGGGCCAAACGCTTAAGCGTGTTTGGCATTTTTTTTTTGCCTGAGCCTGCATTTGGACACAGTCAACATTATATTGCCTGTTCAAGAGTCGTGAAAGAACGAACGTAAAATTAAAAATAATGGATGGTGCCTCTGCAAGTCGAACTTAAAAATGATGGGAAAGATCTACACAAGAAATGTTGTGTATGAAAGAGATCTTTGACATGTGAATTAACATTTCATTATTTAAATCACCTGTATTTATTGATTGAGCTAGCGATGGCTTCTTAAGAAATGTACCGCCAGTGGTTTCCTTCATTGCGCTCTACTTTAAGCAATTAAGCAAGTAGAAGGAGGGAAACTCCAGTGGGGCAATAAGCAAAGGGGCGTCCTAAAGGCGGCCCTCGCCGCCTGCCCTGGGTAATTCAGTTTAAATTAGCAGACAATTTTGCACAAATCATTTTAATTACAATTTATAATATCTAGAACAGCGGTCATTTTGTATGACAACCGCGCTTTCTAGTATAATATATAAAGAAATTAAGTAATGAAGAATCTGCATGGAAGTATGCATGTTTCTGGCACTACGAAAAACAACGGTACCCAGAGTCACCAAATTTTGAATAACGTAGTCCTTCATCCAAATATGAGCACTGGAAGCCCGAATTTCGAATTTATGTTATTGTCTATTTCATATTTTGTAAAATTTTAACGTATTTTTGATTAAAAAATACGACAATTTCGAAGAAAGCAGTGGCAGCATTGTAGGAATGAAATATTTTTATCTTCAGTACGCGAGACTATCTCTCGGAAATTCTAAAGATGTGCTGTTTTTAAATATTTTAACCCAATGCAGCGTTAGCCCAAATGCTCTCGAAACATGTATATGTCTGTAAATGGAAAAAAAAAAAAAAAAAAAAAAAAAAAAAAAAACATAAAACCTGAAGGCTTTCAGATTTTATTTTAAAAAAGTTTCTTCTTTTTTTTTTTTTAGGACATTAAATTGAATTTGGTTGCCATACTAAACAAAAATACAAGTATGCATATGTATGCTTGCTATGCATGGGGAAAAATAGACATTTTTGTAAATTTAGGTAAGTTACGATATCTTATCTTTAAGTAATTTACGGTAGTTTTGAACTTAGATTCAGTTTTCATATTTTTATCGAATAGAAATTTTGCTATACATTTTATAATGGTTCAAAGTAAATGAGAATGGGTTTTTTTGCCAGCCATTGAACGGGAAAGAAAATATTCACTTAAAAATTCCCTTGCTCATATATTTATTTACTTACAGTATTTGCTTATATATGGATTTGAGAATTTTGATACAGAATTTCATAATAATTTGTCCTGCGTAACCAAAAACATAGATTATATTTAACGCACACTATACGGGTGGAACAGTTTTGTGTAACTTCTTATATGAAAGATGCAGATGCGATATTCGCCAGTGTAACTTGGCTACGATTTCTAAGTCATTTCTGTTCTTTGAAAGTAATAAAGGGGGATTTTGAGAATCTGCTTTTTTAAATGTGACCGCACTGCTTAACTCAGATTCTTTTACTTTTTAGTAAATCCCACAAGTCTATGCAGAAATTAAAAAAATTAAAATAACAACGAAATGTACAACTTACACAAGATGATTCATAAACCATAAAGCACATTACGACAATTTTTTTTTTTTTTTTTTTTTTTTTTTTTTTTTTTTTTTTTTTTTAAAAGAATGATTTCGCGCAAGTAACACTTTGAGGCACAAACACAAGAAATAAGATGTGAAAGGGAACAAAATGTTTACTTACAGCATTTTTGATAAATGCTTCCTTAAATCGATGTTTAAAATCATATTTCTTAACAGCAGTAATGCATGATGCGAGCGTCGATGGAGTGACTGGCAAAGAATTTCAAAGATGTTAGGTATTTCTCACGCACTCTGAGCCGCTGCGGATATTCAAGCTGCTAAGTGCTCAATACAATTCGATTTTCGTAAACGAGTGCCTCCAAATGTAGCTATAAAAAATAATCAAGGCTCGATAAATCGGGCAATCGGGGTGGCCAACGGACTGACCTTCCACAAAAAATCAAACGTGTTCCAAAAGTAGCATCCAAATAACTGTGCACACCAGTAGAGAAATGGGCTGGCGCCCCATTGTGAACAAACCACGGCTGAATATGACTGGCAGTTTAAGAAATTCTGTTAAAATCTTTTATAGCAAAAAATGTGATAACATATGGCATCGAATATCATTGGTTGTGCATATGAGCCAATCAGGAAATCATTCACAATATTCGCTCAGAGAATCTTTCTTGAGATGCATGGGCTGTAGCATACGTGCTTAAAATTGCCCACACATAACAACTGCTCGCATTGAAAACCTCGTCGCACTTATAAGCGGTGTAACACCAGGGTGCCTGGGTCAAGGACCCTGCCCCTTGTCGAACATGTAGGTTGTTTCGAATGCTGTAATGCAATGGGTAACTAACACAGGATATAATATTTCTTTTAATAAATTATGATCGTATTTTTGAGTAATAGGATAATAAGATATTCTAGCAGAAATAAAGTGCGCGCCGAGTTTCAATAAAGACCTGAAAATGCCATCTGGGAGAGCTGAGAAAGGGGAAAAGAGCTGGCTTTAACCTGAGTCTTAGAGATACATATAATACAGATAGTGTGAGTCAACTGGTGCACTTAAATCATAGCATAAATCACAAACTACAGTACAGGTAAAGTAAGTCAAATTAAACAATATGAGTACTAAGTATGGCCATAGGGCGTTTACAATTATTTGGGTCATTTACATCATAATTGTAGACCCTTATCACAGGGTTGTTGATACTTGCAAGGTTAGCATAAAAATTCCGGGCAAGCGGGCAATAAAAATATTTCAGTTCTTCAATGCCTAATTCATCAAGACGTTTTTTTTATTTCGAACGTAACAGGGCGAGTAGCTGATCTGTCTTAGGACACAATTTTGTGCCTGCTGTAACTTTTTCCTATATGATCTGCATGAATATGCCCAAACCGGGCAGGCATAACATAGTATGGGACGCAATACAGTTTTATAAATAAGAAACTTATTATCTATTGAAAGTACACTGTTTCGAGAAATTAAGGGGTGAAGTGTAGTTTTACTAACTCAAAACTTTTTAAGGATAGATGTTACGTGTGGGTACCATGAGAGAATTTTACTGAGAATCACCCCAAAATAAAGGACTTGCTTGGCCCATGGGATATCTTCTCCGTAAAGTTGCAGATTTTTATTGAATTTGCTCTTCTTGGTAAAAAGGATTGCTTGAGTCTTATCTGCATTAACTTTGATCTTCCATTTTGTCAGCCAAATCTCGAGTATGTAGTCTTGTAATCATTGTATTGCTGAGATAATGAACACTTTGTTAGAGGACTGCAGTGTCGTCTGCATACATTGCAAGTGTTGTGTTCTGTGTGGTGGGAATGTCCTTCACGTAAATATTGAATAAAGTGGGTCCAAGCAGACTGCCCTGGGAGACCCCCAGCAAGGATTTGCCCTACGTGTTTGATAGTGTGTTTGGGTTACGTGTGGGGGAATGTCCTTCACGTAAATATTGAATAAAGTGGGTCCAAGCAGACTGCCCTGGGAGACCCAGCAAGGATTGCCCTACGTGTTGATAGTGTGTTTGAAACGCGAAGGGTAGACATTTTGTCTACCGGTTAGGTAGACATTTTGTCGTTCTACCGGTTTAAACATTTAACTATGTTTGTGATGTAGCCTGGGAACCCAGGTTGTGTAGTTTGTAAATGAGTGCGTCGAAAGGGCGCAAAGCAATAAGCAACAGCCTTTACACCGATGCCTTTCAATTTTTCAATCAAGTCTTGACTTCTTCAATTTTTACTGGGAACAGCAGCTTCCTGCAATAATTTCTTTTTATCGTCTCGAGAGAGCCCTGATCGATAGGTTGGCAAAAGGCAATTGCATTTTCTCTCTCTTTCTCTGTGTAGGTGAAACAATTGCCTTAATCTCCCCATCTTAAAGATATGCATCAAAGTACGCCGGGGCCACTATCTAGCAACAAAACAGCTTTTCTGGGTAAATTAATTTCTCTTAGAACTTCTTTGTTGAAGGAAAGTATTCTTTAGAGAAAGAGTCTTTCAAAATCCCATTGCTCATCCATGCGATTTTATGATACAGTATTTTACAGGAAGAGCATTTTTTTAAAAACTGTTTTCAAGGTTCTAGGACTCCAATCATTACAAGATCCATTTTAAGATTTGTTGTAAAACTGTTGCATGCGAAAATTATTAGCCTTTTCTAAAAACGCTTATAGCCAAAAGTTTTGCTGCTTCAATTCTGGCTGCAAGACTTTTACTAGGTGTTTACATCTAATACTAAAGTTTTAAAATGTTTAGAACAACTATGAAATGCATGAGGTGTTAAGATTGTTATTCATTCAACTTTTTCTGTGCCTAAAAGAAATTCATTATATGACTGCAGACTGCATATAAAAGATTATTTTCTTTAAAACACATGAACCCCCCCGGCCTCATGCACATATAAAAAACAATACTGAAATGGTTTTTATTTATGAAAAGATATGATTAATTAAACTTTTCTTTAAAAGAAAATGCTATGAATATACTTGAAACACGTGTGAAAGATGACAAATGTTGCTATTCCCCAGAGTGGCCTTTGAGCTTGCATTTGCCGGTTTGAAATTATTTGCTAGTTATTCGAGTAGTGATAGTGTAGAGTCATTAGGATGTATATTTCTAAATGCTGTCGCCGGGACTCGAACCCTGGACCTCTCGAATGCGCGTTGAGTGTGCCAACCATTACACCACGAAGGCATGTTGGAAAGAGGGAGAAAATATACCTTATATATTCCCCCTTTTAAAGAGTGACTGGGGATTAGAGGACCCAGTTGCCAAATCCTGGTGGTGAACTGAAGAATCATCATCCACCACCTTTTAGTTCAGGGGCCACTGTAGAGTCATTAAGTTAGTTTTGAGGCAGAAGACATGAAAAATGCCCTCGCCGGTACTCGAACCCTGGACATCTCGAATACGCGCCGAGTGTGCTAACCATCACACCACGACGGCATGCTGAAGGAGAGAGAAAATACCCTATAATAGGTCTTGACAGATTCAGAAATCGGTGTTCCAAAAATGTCGCATTAGCAATTACTTCTCCCCTCTCTCGCATTCAATAGAGTTTCTGACAGTTGAACTACGAACTCAAAATCCTAAAAGAGGTAAGCATAAATATGTGACTTCGCAATGTGTCCCAAGTTTGATCATGTTTCTTCCAAGGAGGAGGATGTAATAACTACATTATCATTTGTTAGATTTCTTTTCGAGTATAAACTTCAGAGGAAAACGATCTGATCACTTGTTATTAATACACAAACAAATTTCATTTACATATAATACAGTGTTTTATACACATAATTATTAGGCACGCGCCTTCGGTTATTAAGCTTCCCAAGATGCAAGGTACCTTCAGAATGTCCAACACGTTCGAATGCGTGGAGCCAAAGACCAGTGGCGTAGCGAGAGGGGGGCAAGGGGGTGCATGATGCCCCGGGCGCCGCTCGTACAGGAGCGCCAAATGGTCTCCAAACAAGATTTTCCGGAAAATTTCAGTTTTTATTTTGATCGATTTCTGGAAAATATATTTAAAATTAATAACTATTGTAATATAATTAATTATTTATTTTCTTGATTTGTGTAATAAAATGCTTGCAGTACATCAACCAAAACGTTCTTTCTGACTTCTTTATTTCTCCAAAGTAGAGATATATATTTAAAAACGAAATGCACGTATATCTCTCGCTTTTTATTTTAAAACGATAACACGACCTTGTCCCGAATTTCTCAAATATATCCAGTTTCCAAATTCCGATTCCATAATCTGGAAATGACAGTTTTTGAGATTCGTAACGCTTCCGCTACAATGGATTGCGTTTGACTCTCCTGTAAACGTCTGATGGCCTTCCTGGCTACTGATTCAACTAAGTCATCTTGCTGAGACGTCGTATATTCACTGCTACGAAGCATTCAACGAATGTGAATTGTTTTTAATCTTCTATTACAAAAAGGAATACTGCAGGTCGTTCC